AGCCCCAAAGTTCTTAGGGAAATGTTTCTCTATGTGGACATACGGTAGGGCTGGTAAAAGAGACACTAAGTGTGTTTGATTGAGGTAGTTGATCACATCCCCATTTATGTACACTGCAGTGTTCACATAAACACAGAGGACTTTTAAAGCTGTTTTTGAGACTTTGGCATCAGCTGCTGGTTCTCTTCCTTCCATAGAAAATAAAGCATACACATTTTTCAAAGAGTGGTATGAATCTGAAGTGGGAAAGACTCCTCATGAAAAATAATGAATAAAACAGGCATCACAAAAATACTGTGTTCAATCAAAAGGAAAGATAAAACTGCACGAAATCCCCCTATCAGAGAACACAGGAAAAGTACTCTGAAATGAACACATGTAATACCTTGCAGTGCACTATTCTGTGTTTGAAATAATCTCATTAACAGTTGTATTCTTCTAGGTTCTTGTGATCCAGGCTACAGCTGACAAAAAAAGTGTTTTCTCAATGCCAGCATATACATATCAGATGACTGTTCATTTAAAATTTTCTTTTCACATGCAAAAGACCCAAGTGGTGTGACTTCAATAGCTTAGTCTACAGGATCAGCTTTACTTAGGAAAATGCTGAATTTTTACTTCAAGTCACTGATCAAAAACGTAAGTGGAGGTGTACAGTCATTGGTCATGCTTTGGATTCCTGAACAGCATCCAAAATAACTTACTTTCTTGATGACGTGAAACCTCCATACTTGGGCACAGTAGAAAATGTAAGGAAAAAAAGTCTAACGAAAGTTAAAACTAGCTTAACTCCTTCACAAAACCTGGCTCTTACCTGAAACTTACTCAGTTCACACCAAAAGTACTCATGTAGGTTTTACAGCTAAGTTTTCACACTTTAAGGACCAAATAAAAACTATAGGTGGTTACTGTTCCCACAACATAGGATCATAAAGTTGGGGCCAGACAACTTGTTGCCAACAAGGATCATAAAGTTAGGGCAAAAGGAAGGTTATATAGTCCCTGCTATAGATGGAAAGAGCTTTGCTTCTCACATCACTAATCAGAATAGGTATATCAAATTGAAGGAATGCTCATGTATCTCTGTAATGCTGGAAACCAACCCTTTTAGAAGTGAGTACAAGGCAGGGTAGAGAAAGACTTCATTTTCCAAACCAAGCTTCTGTAAAGCCAGACCCCTTTGTGATGTCAAAAGTGATAGAAAATCAAATACTGAGGAACTGAACTCCTGAATTGGTGGTGCAGTTCAATAGTACAACCTTACTGTAAAAATATTTACAGTTCCTGCTGTAAACTCCATAAAAAGTCCATAAAACACATGGAAAGTTAATTAAAAAATACATATTTGTAAGCTTAGACCCCTAAGAAAGAAATCAGACAGAACCGTGCTTTAAATCTAATTTAATGGCATCCATTTCTGTTACAATACAAACTCCAAAACTATCAAGTTTGAAATGACACCATACTAGCTTTCACGTCCTTAGTTTCATACTTGCAATGTATAAACATCAGCTGACTGATACTTTGTTCATAGGTATGTAGAGGAAAGACACTTCAAAGTTCTGCAATGATATGACCCAGATATGACACAGATGTCAGTATTCTAGTCACCCATTTACAGCCACAAAAGTGGCAAAGCTGAAACTAAGACTTTTATTTTCCATCAATAGCTTGTATTTCAAAAATTCTAATAGGAATTCCCTATATCAATCACATTTCTTTGTCCAGTAAATCCTTCCTCATTTTTTAAATAAAAAAATACCTGCTGAGCTAACATACAGTTGCCTGCTGGACTTCCCTAAGGAAACTGAGGGAGGCAGCATACATGCAAAATAGCCAGGAAAGGCTGCATGCCATTGCAAGGCCTCTCTGCATCACCTTTGAAAGGCCACAGTAACCAAGGGAGGTCCCTGGTAAGTGAGGAAAAGAGCAAGAAGGAATACCCAGGGAATTACAAGGCAGACAGGTTATTTCAAACCTTTGGAAGAAAATGGACCAAAACCTCTTTGACTCTCTTTCCAGGAACATCAAGGACAGAAACAACTTTGCAAATGGCAAGTATAATTCCCCAAAGGCAAAATGTGCCCAAACAACCCAGTTACTTATTATGATGAAGCCACTGGCACTGTGGATGAGAACAGTGCAGCAGACACCATTTACCTGACTTTAGCATGCTTTTTGACACATTCTGCCTCAGCACTATGGCAGTCAAAAAGGCATGGATGAGATGGCTGGTCAAGGCTGATGAAAAAAGTGGCTAGTTAGACAATCTCACTTAAGGCAGCAGTAAACAGGTCAAAGTCTAACGTGGCTAGCCGTGACATTTCTCTGAACAACAGAGCAATCAAACCCTTCCAACTATGTGTATAACTCCAAACTTCAGCAATCAAGAAGCTGGATGGTAGGGTTTCCCATCTGAAGGGCCTCAACCAATGCGAGGACTGAGCTGACAAGCCTCTTGAAACCAAATAAAAGCAAATGCAAAAATCTTATACTTAAGTACATGTCAGGAATTCATAGGCTAGAAAACAGCTTAGGAACAAATATCCTGGGGGTCCTGGTGAGTAACCCATTGAACACAAACAAACAAGGCATCCTTGCAATGATGAAAGCAATGGGCTGCGTTAACAGCATTGCATGCTAGTGATGGGAAGCAATCAACACCTTCTATGTGACCTTCCTGATGCTTCAAATTGAACCCTGTTCTTGGTTTTCAGCTCCTTTGTACCAATTAGAGATTTTTTTTTAAATAATGGAGAACACATGACCTATGAGAAGAGGTAGATGGAGCTGGCTTTGCTCAGACTAGAGGAAAGATGTTTCTTAGTGATTTAGGGGGTACGCATGGAGAAAAGATAGCCAAGATCTTCTTAGTAGGGCACAATGAAAGGAGTAAAGGCAGTGTCATCACTTGCAGCATGAGAAATTCTAACTAGACACAATAATAAGTCAGAAAATCTACATAATGGTCTTCGGACACTGGAATATGTTTGTCCAGAGGGGCTACAGAATTTCTTTCTGCATAGGTCTTCTACACTTTGGTGCACAAGACTGAGCACCTCAATTTAATTTTGAAGTCAGCTCTACTCTAAGCAAGAGATCAGACCTCCAGAGGTCCAGTGGTAAGTCGAAATCTCCTTTTCAAAAGCAAAATTCTGTGGTAAGCAGAAGGCTGGGAAAAAGAACAAATAGGACTATGGTGTGCATAAAATGCAGACCAACCAAGTCTCCATAATTCTTTCAGATGATAAGGCTGCATATGGAAACTGTTTTCAAGAAGTTTGAAAACTTTCTCTGAGAGCACCTACTTTCTGCAAGGTTTAGATTTATATAATAAAAAATAACTTGAGCAAAATTGATTATTGAAATACAAGGATTTCTTTGCTCCATCCTAATTTTGCTTGCAGCATATGTATAATTATTTGTTCAGTTTAGATGATTATTTGTAAAACAAAACAAAACTTATGCCTTTTACTTTGTTCAAGGTGTTTATTCAGATCACAGCTTGCCCCCAACAAACTGCACTTCCACCTACAGGCTATATACAACAGACTAATTGTACAACATATTTGACTCTTATGTAAAACATACATATGGAGAGATATACAAATACATCTGTCAATATATGAGTACAATTTTTTTTTTTAAAGAAATTGCATAAAGAGACTTTTCTTCAGAAAGGTCATTTCTTTGAAGTGCCTTTCTTGATGTGTGATGTCACATCAGCCCCTGACAAGACCACACACATTTCTATGAACAGTCAGTTCAGGTTCAGTGCCATGCGTACTCTAGAGCTTTACAGAATAAGGCATAAAAATATCAGTCAATTTGCAGTTTGTCTTTACATGGCACAGTTTTTCCCGCGGTGATTCTTCAAATGATCTCACCAGAACAAAGCAAGCAGCATGCAGTTTGGAAGTATTGTGACTTTTTAAAGACGTAATATGTATAACTCTTCTACTCTCTAAATTGTAATTAGTTTTTCTGTTGCATGATGAGGAGGGGGAGGACAGAATCCATCAGTGCAAATGATTAACACCTATTTCCCTTCCTTAAGGTTTCAAGAATCTAGTATTACTACCTAGATCCAACAGAGAATTAAAAGTGCAATTCTCAAAATCACAGATGGGTGGAGAACTGCAACCACAGTAGCAAGCAACAGATTTCCCTTCAGAGAGTAGTATGGGCAAAGATTTATCACCAGTACCACCGCTCAGTGCACCAACAGATGTCAGTGCTCAGAGGCAATGAGAAAACTGACAGTGGAGTTAAAGACTGGGTCTGCATCTGCATGTGTCTATCAGTGAATAGTAAAACTATTATCTCCTTAAGCACTGTGCTTCGAAAGCAACATTTATTTCTTTTAGCTTGGTATTCTTTTACACAACCTACTTCCTATTTCCTTGGACAAAAGCAGTCCCTGAACAAAAGAAATTTCAAAAGGCACAGAGATTTATATTAAGCAGTGAACTAAGCGAAAGAAAAATATGCAGATACTTTTAAAAAAATTGCCTCACAGTGGTCTGAATACTAATTAAAGACACAAGTCACATTGATCTACTGCAATTTTATTGCAAAGTTTTAAGAGCAGATACTGGCTTTTAATAAATAATTGAAAAAGAGGGTTTATGTTGCCAAGCAATAAGATCATCCCTACACAAGTGAGATGATGTAAAATTCTGGAAAGAAATTATCAGACATTCTTTCCTTTCTACTTTATTCATATAAAAAACACACAATACTGCCTCTATGCTAAATGCCAGCAATATGTATCTTCACATGAGAAATGCAAAGCTGCATCCTTTTACATTAACACTTCAACTACTGTTTCAACCCAGCATCAGAGAAAAAGTTGATTCTTCTGAAATAATTTTTGAGATGCACACCAAGTCTTGTAACAGCCAGATGTTTCATAGTCATCAGCTCATTCACTGCACAGAATTTCAGTCCTTTGCTCAGTATTGCCTACCATCTCCTCTAATCTTCAACTATTTTCTTACCTGACTAGAGATTTGCCTTTAAGAGAAAGGGCGCATGTTTCATAGAAGTCAGACTTCCATTCACTTGCTGTATTCCTAAAACAATTTAAAAGCCAAGGTACATATAGCTTCCAAGAAAGAATGGGAGGACAAATGAAAACAGATTTTACACTTGTAGTTACCTTTGCATAAGTGACTGCATATCTCAGTGTTCCCACAAGGGCTGTGAATGTTTAACAGTTATAAGAATGTAACAGCAGGTTATGTGCTCATCCAATCTGTTTGAAAAGCTTTGAAAATCAGAAGCATCAGAATGAGCAATACCCGTATCTTCATAAACCCCAGCTATAAAATCCAATCAGCATACTGCAAAGAGTTTCAGCAAGTTGTCATATTATTTCATACAAGCCTTTCTTGGTTACAACAGAGTTCAAACTGAAGATTTTAAGGAGTAAGAAAGGCAAATTGAATTTTACTACTCTATGAGCCTTCCTTCAAAACAGCTCCGGAGCACAGCACTTAAGTATTGCTTAAAAAGCTTACAGATAGTGACCTAAACATTGCAACAGGGAACCTCAGGTTTAGCCTTCCCCTGAAACAAACAATGCATTTAGCAGCAGTTTAGTGGTAAACCACAACTGCCCATGTGCAGCCATGAATCAGACTCCAGAATCCAGGTTTAAACTGACCCTAATGAGCTGACACGCCTAGGCTAGAGACCTGCAGCATGGCTAGGAGAGAAGACGGCCTCCACCCAGGATACAGCAACGGTCCCTGGTTTAGTGAGGCACAACCAAACAGGATCCAGGTATTTAAGTTCTGCTCTGAAACCTGTCACACTGTGCAATCCTGTGCAAGTCAATGGACTGCTCTTACCCCTGGAAAACAAAACTGCTTTCTCTCAACAGTAAAGTCTTCCGGACTCTGCAGGCAAGGCTGCCAAGCACTGTGATAAAACAGCAGCTTAACCACAATTCTGTAAAAGGTTTCATTTAATCTGGTTCAGGTAAGCATGCACTTCATTACTCACCAATTATGTTTTCATGACAAACTTGCAAACACGATTAGAAAGACTCAAGTAAAACAGAAAAACAGAGATGCTTCTTAGAAGCGTGCACATACTGTTTATATGACATGCTTAAACCCAAACAACCAAGTGGGAAAAAACCCAAAACCCAACACCAAAAAAAAAATCACTCTAAAAATTTTGTGGATAAAGAAGATTTTTACACAAAAGGAATCAATCTATGAGTATCTGGTACATTGCCCATATTGCTTAATTCACAGCCCCCCACTTCTAACTGATTATTTTCCTCATTTGTAAAATGACAGTTCTTTAAAAAACTTATAAGTAGACCACAAAATCCTTCAAAACTGAATGTCTAAAACATGTTTTACACAGCGACACATTTAAATAGTTGAGTTTGTTACCAAAAAGGCACACAACCAGAGTGCTTCATTATCTCCGTACCACCTCAGATGGCAGTTTATTGCCAGAGTAAGTGCTGCACTGTTAAGACAGTGCAACCACTGAATCAAAGCCACTTTCCTGATGTATTACTCTTACTCTGCCAAGTAAGATATGAAGACAAATTTATTATTTGTAAATAAAGGAAGTACTTATTAAGATATTATTTTCAAGATGAAAACTGCAGACATTTACACCTATGCTGGGTCCCCAAGCTAGAAAAAAACACCCCAACCCAGCTGAAGAGGAAGTTAACACACAACAATCCTTACAGCAGTATGTTTTAGACAGCTTTAAGAAAACATCTGTCCATCCAACAGTCATACAGGTCCTTCTGTAAGGATGTGAATTACCTTCCACAAGAAGAGATGTCTCCTGTCTCTCTGTCATTTCCTTTTCATAAGCCCTGTGCTAATGAAATAACGTTCAAAGAAGGTATCAAAGCCTGTCTGTCTACCACTTTTATTTTCCCTCTGAATGAGATAAGACCTTTTGTGGTCTTAATGGTAGATTTTAATAAACAGGTGGAATTTTTCTGCTTCAGTTTGCCCACAGCACGGAACTACAGCCTTAAGCAACTGTACTCACCAACATTATGATTTATTCTATTTCTTTATATTAAATGGCTGCCACAGGCTGCTATACTAGCATTAAACACAAAATCATTACTCTGAGAATATAACTTTTGCCAAAGCACAGAAAACATTCTATTTTAAGCTTTACCTCACGTCTTTACATCACCTTACTTAGTTCTCAAGAAGAGTCCTGTGTGTCTGGAATCTACATTTTGCCTTTACATAAAGTTAAGGAATTAATCATGTTCTTGATTTTCTGTGAAAGCCACATGTTTTCCACTGAATATTTAAAGCCTTTTCATTTTCCCCACAATTCCAAGGATCCAGTTACATAAGACATTCAGTTAGTTTCCATAAATTTACCTGTTGAGAATGCAGACCAAGTCTGAATGTAGGAAAATTAAATATTCTTCTTAGCTCACAGAAAACAGGTGTAAGGCTGTAAAAACATGAACTAGAAATTGGGAACACACCCTATTCCAGCCAGATATGCACACACTCACCCACAGACATCCCTCCATCTCACAACGGATGTTCAAATCAGACAAGCATTTGCCTGCAAGTCATTTGACTGAGAAGAGGCTGTGAGGTTCTCAACTGAAAAAAAAAAAAGCAGCTGAAGCAAATCACCTGAAACCATGTCCTTCCACAAAATGACCTTAAGGGCTCCCTTAAGAGAACATTAATTTGGCAAAGGTATACTCTATTTCATGTCTCATGGGCATAAAGATGCCTCAGTCCATTCTCCTCCATTTTCCTCTTCTTTCAAATGCATTGGCTTAGTGGGGGTCCATTGCTTCCACTATGCTCAGGTCTCCACTAAGCCATTTTGGCTCCGTACCTCGCCAGGCCACAAACCCAACAGAAGTGGCTGGATCTCCACAGGTTCTGCCAAGTTACAGATACAAGAGGATGCTTAATAGAGTCACTGAATCATACTCTTAGCAACTCAGCTGAAGCTTTTCTGCATCTTGTAGTGCCATTAAACCTAAGCAAGCACTTTAACTTACTGTTTTGTGAGATTTTGGATACCATAAGACAATCCCGACTACCTCCAGCTTGCCACTACACAAAAGCACAAATCTCACAACAAATCCAGGGAAAATGTCCAGAAGCCAAGTGAGGATACCCTCAATTTAGGGGTATAAGGTACCTACTGAGCGTCATTATATTTGATTCCCTGTCTTTAAACACTTAATTCACTTCCTCAATGTCTTTTATAAAAACATTTAAAAAAAAAGAACTACAATGAACAGTATTTATAGTATTTATCAGGAAGGAAAGCACTGCCAAACATTCAAAAAGAACTTGCAGATACAAAAATATTGAAGATTACAGGTAGGTAATTAAAGCTTTGGGTAAAGAAAGCCAAGATTAATTTTAAACTTCAACAAAGTGAATGACAGCTATAAGAGCTATAAGTCAGCATTAAGGTCACAGAATACTTTAAGAAAATTTATTTCAAAATATATTGCATCATCAGTATGTTGGCAGCAATCACCACATTGCTTACTCATTACATGTCAACTCCTTTCCTTTCACTGTATCTTGTTCTTAACAAAATGTACCATTAGGGAACATAGGTTTTTCCTGTCTGAAAACCAAACCACTCAATACTTACACTGCTGCATTTTAGCTCTTCCCTCTCCTATAAAGGCCCTCACAACCTTCCTCCCAGTAAAAGCACTCTGAATTTCTGTCTACAGCAGCTGAGGCTTCAGTAATTTCTGCCTCTATGTTTCCTCTTGTGAGAAAAGGGGTTGGGAGATAACAACCTCCTGAAGGGAAGCACTTCATTCTGCTAGAGAAGGTTATTACAGTATATAGAACCTTTGCTCTGCAAAAGTCTCATTGCAGAGATTCAGTTTTAGCGGAGAAGCTACGCAAGAAGATCAGATACCAGCTCCTAAGACAAGGCTACTGAAAGAGGTATCATACCTTTCATCCACCTGTTCTCTCACAACAGCCAAAACCAGCACCAAGTCAACCCTTTCATTAAGGCCTTCAACTCACCAACTTGACATAAAGTTTAGCAGAAATTCATCCAGTTTTTTTGCTCTGGCAGTTTTCTGCTGGTTTACTGAGCAGCTTACTTCAGCAGCTTATGGAGGGACACAGTGGAATTCACAGAAGGTAGATAGTGGGAGAAGGCAGTCAAAAGTGGTAAGAGGGACTTCTTTCAACAGCAAGAAGCTCACTTTGTCATGTAAACATCACTAAAAGGAAATAAAACTTCCCACAGCTAGGCACTGGACCCTCCTGAGCATCAGCACCAGGATACCAGGCAGTAGGAAAGCAAGTGGTGGAAGCACGCAGGAAAATGCAAGGGGCCAACTGCTTTTCTTCAGCAGTGAGTGACCTGTCATTAATTTTCCCATCACTCCTCCTTGTTAATGAAGAGTTCCAATTATGTCCAAGTGCTCTATGTCAAGTGCATATTAGATCTCTGAATAGTGCTTTATTTCCATGCTCACAAGCTTATTTTCCTCAAGATACTGCTGAACTTCCCTGTAACATTATTGAGATTTCCAACTGAACTGCAGAAAGGCCACCGCAGAAAACAGTTAAACAAACAAAATGAATGCTGAGGACTCAGGAAGCTTCAGAATTCACACTGCCAATGCAACCTCAATTCTTTATAAAAAGACAGGAGAGTCTGCGGAGTCTGTTCTGCTGACTTGTGACCATTGCCTTGTTGAGCTCAAAGGACTGGTGCTCAAATTCTCCTCTCCAGGACTTGTACTACATGACTGCAGCAGCTGAGAGCTGCGCAAGTACTTGCAGCACTGCATGATCGTGCTCTTCCTACACTGATTCCCGTTTACCAAGGAGGCTTTTATCCTGAAAACATGTCCAAACAGCTCTGATCAATAATGTGTATAGTTTCCAAGCTAGTTACTTTGTACAAGAACAGCTCAGCTGCATTAGTATGGTGCTCCACCACACCAATAGCTTGCTGTTCAGCAGGATTAATTAGTCTGGCAGAGCACAGCACTAATGTGATTATGTAGCTTCTAGTACCTGAGCTAGCTTATTCATCGTTTCTATTACTTTGCTCTGAAACAAAGAGTTTAGATTTTGCTATTTTCTTAACACCTAAATAATTCAAGCACTTTTTTTTTTTGGAAGAGAGAGAAACAAGACTTAGAGAAGACTCCAAGCCAGATTTCCCTGTTTGAAAGAATGCATCTCCTGCCTCCATTGCCTCTGTCACTATTACCATCCTCTTCTAATCACTTCTTTTGTTCCTATAAGCTTCCTGTGAACCTGCAAGTCCTCCCTTTATATCAGAAATAATGATTTCCAGCCACAGCCAACAGTGACAAAAGCAGAGACTGGGAGATGTTGAGCTTGAGTGTAAGTCATCATTGCTTTCCACTCCTTTTTTACAAATAGGGAACAGATATCACAGGAGTACTTGCTCAAAAGAGGAAGCACCTCTCAAATTAATGAGTGGAAGAGCAAGAACACAAACCACAGTCACCTTATTCACAGTCTGGGGTTCCTATCAGGATATGGAAACAGAGACCAGCGTGAGGTATACCAGGTACCCAGACCTTGCCCCAAGTCATGGAGTCACCAGAGCATTAGTGGAACTGCACAAAGAACTCAACTTATGACAAAACACAAGTGTGCTGGTATGCTCAAAATCAACTGTTCCTCTTTGCTCAAGTCTCCTTGAAGCATTTGGCATGAGGAAGACACTCAGGGCAGGCGACATTAGGTCATCCAGTAAAAAAATCAGCAGCCACAAGCAACTGACAGCAGTTGCACAATGGGAAGTACTGGGGAAACCCCACTGCTGGCAGTACTGCTCTTTCTTTCAAATTTGCCTGTAGCCCATCATCAGAAGAGAAACAGAGGAATATCACAGCACCCATTAGTATCTCTGGTCTTTGGCCCATATCCCTTACCTGTATGGGCACACTGACAGGCCCCGCAGGTGTAACACAGTGGGGCAGTTACCACACACAGACTTTAAGAGCAACCATACTGTTCTGACAGAGTGAAAAGCAGTGACAGCATCAAGATCTGCACTTCTTCATGTTTCCACAAGTCTTTTACTTGCTACATAAGCATCTAGCATTTATTTTTCTACTTTTTGTCTTATTATGTTGGTTTAAATATTAAAAAAAATTCAAGAATCTTTATATTCCCATCTTTTTGAAGTTTGCCCTGTTTCTGGTTTGTGATTTTGGTTTGTTTGTTTGTTTTTAACACAAAAGAGTACGCCATAGAAAAAATGGTTAAAATTTCTACAACAAAACGTGGTTAAGAAATGCTATAAAGTCAAGGTATTTTATTGTTTTGTGACTGCAAACGATATTGTACTGACTGGACTTCTGAACACTTATGTCAACTTAAAATTTGAAACAATAAATGGACAAAACATGTGTAAGCTCTCTCCCCTCTCAGCTTTATGTCAGCATGTTGAACAGACAGAGCTCTTCCAGGACAGAAATGCAGAGAAAAACCACATTATTTTTGACATTCTTTTCCTTTAAAGTAACTTGCTTCCTTCTGTCAAAAATATCCACAGGAATAGTTTCAAATTTTGAGTTCCAGGTATACGACAGATCATACAACGCAGATGCAAGTTCCAGGCTCAAAAGAGTACGAAAGCAGGAAGATTCTTTACATTTGCATCTCCAGCATGTAACCACCAGGCACAAAGAGAGGAGCTTTAAAGGGAATTCTGGTTTCTGTGAACGCACAGTAGAGTACAAAAGTACACAATTAAAAACGTTACAGTTTAAAACTTTTTCTAAAAAGACCACAGATTATAAATCCATCTTGACAGTAAAGTAACAATATAAAAAAGTAGACTAAAGCTTGCAAAGACAGAGAGAAAATCAACAAAAAGGCCAACACATGAATTAATGTGAAGAAAGTTAACACAGAATAAGAAACACTGTTTAATTGTAAGTGGCAAAAAAAAAGGTATTTTTTTAAAAAAAAACAGAAAAAAATGAAATCAGGCAAAGTCCTGCAAAAATGCAAAAGCAATTAAGTAAACAACATGTTAAGACCACATTCTCAATTCGGAGGAAAAGAAACTTCCAGAAACAACACGTAGTATTAAGGAAAAATAAAGATCTGGAAACTAAGTGCAGTCCTTCTGTCATCTGCTATGCTTAAATAGCCAAAGGTCTCATTTGGGGAGGCTACTGTGTTGTTGGTGGCTCCTGTGTAGAACTGGAGGAGAAAGAAGAGTGATAGAAAGGAAAGGGAGGAAGACATTGAAGAGATATTGGGTTATGTATGTATGTACTTATGCACACAGACACACATGCATCTATATATAATAAAAAACAACTTGAACTAGTTGACACAGAGTGGGACCAGCAAGAGCAGTGGCATGCTTAAGTGTTATCGTCTTCCTCCTGTTTATTTACTTGTTGCAGTTTCTATACCACAGAATCAGGTCTATCAGATCTGGAGCCTCATTACTTCTAAATACTTCTACATGTCAATTCCACATAACTGGAAAAAGAGTTTGCTAGTATTTCTTACTGTTCCGTATGCCTCAGAGAGGCTGTGTGACTAAAACAAAAGACAACATAGTCTCTGCATATTCCAAGATGTGGTCTGTACCATGCACTCCTATGAGTTTTTCTCTTCAAAACATCTCTGCATCGGTCTGTACTACTTATGTAGTTGGCTGCACAATCTGCTAACTGATGCAAGGACTCCAGATCACAGAACACAACTTGAGATTTGTGATAGCTTATTATCCGATTCTCTGTGTGATGCTACGGGTCACTTTTTGGACCACTCTGTACAAACACACAAAAATCTTAATTATTTCAAATAAGGCTAACCGTGTTTCACAAACACTGAAATACTTGTAGTAACAGTCTCATTCCTATCTCATTTCCATCACTACAGAACAGGAAACACATACTACTAATTAATTCATAAACCCTAATCTCTGCAGGCAGCTGAAATTGTCAGTTCAATAAATAAACCAGCCAGTACTGACAGGAAGTTGAACTGTATTATCAAGGAAATTCTTCTTCTGTCAGAGGACCCTGTCAAGCTCTGCTCATGACAGCTTTACCTAGACACAGTTTGGGGAATTTCTGTAAGGAAGGACTCAAAACCGGTACCTGAACCAACCGAGCAGCACAACCGAAAAAGACAGTTGAATTTGTCAAAACACATACAGTATGACGCTTTACTGCTTTAACCTAAATTGACTGTATTTTGCCAAACGCCCTTAACTCTTTAGATGGCCTGTATCGCTGAACAGTGAACCGCACGAACCCGAGACAGACCGCGACATCTCCGGAGCGCTGGACCGCACCTCCATCCTACACTCGCCCGGCGTCGGACAGCCCGGGGTGGCTCCTCCTCTGCCAACAGTGCGGCACGAGCAGGGCGCCGGCCCCCTGCACCCTGTGGAGACACCCAGAGCTCACCGGCCGGCGGCCGAGCCCGGGATGCCCCACCGGGCGCGCAGGCGGACCCGCGCTGCTCCTCTTCCCGGGTGCCGCTGTCCCCAGCCCTCGCCCGGCCCTCAGCTCCCCCCGGGGTGCTTTGCAGCCTGCCGGCCCTCGCTAGGCTTTGCTTCCTCCCCGGATTTCTCTGCAACAGCTGGAGGAACCCGGCAACGCCGGGAGGGTGGGAGGTGCGGCCAGCGCGGAGCCGGCAGCGGAACGCACCGCAGACCGAGAGGATGCAACCGCGGGCCACGACGCCGACCTGCGCGGCGGCTGCCGAGCCAGGGCCGGCAGAAAGACCCCTTTCCTGCAGGGAGGAGGAGGAGGTGGAGGCAGGAAGGGTCAGGGCTCCCCCAACACCGCCGCCAGCCCCGGCAGCGACCTGTTGCCCCGCACGGGGGTGTCGAGGCGCGTCCCCATGAGCGGGACCGCCAGCAGCCGCTACCCACCTCTTTGATTTTCTCCCTCCTCTGCCGGACGTCGGGGTCGGCGGGCTCCTGCCCCACGGCGCCTACGGGCTGGCGGAAGAGGCGCTGGGGCAGCCCAGGGGCCCCAGCTTCTTTCCTGTCGCGGGCGTCCTGCAGAAGTTTCTCCTTGTCCTGGCGGATGTCCCTGCGGATCTCCTCGGGCAGCTTCTGCAGCGTCTCCTTGGCCTCCCGCAGAGCCCGCTCGTGGTCCGCACGGATCCGCTCCAGGCTGCCCGCGCCGCCCGCGGCCGCCGCCGCCGCCGGGCCGCCTCCGGGCTGCGGAGGGGCGCGGGGCTGTCCGCCGGGCGGCGGCGGCGGCGGCTGCAGGGCGGCCGAGTGGAAAAAGACGCCGCTGAGGAGCTTGGAGGAGTCGGGCAGGAAGAAGATGGCCCCGAAGCAGAGAGTGATGAAGGCGCTGAACACCAGCAACAGCACGAACTTCTCCGTCAGCCGGAACGCGCCGGGGCCCGCCGCTTTCCTGCCCCCGCCGCCCGCGCCGCTGCCCGCGGGGCCGCCCAGCGTCCCCGGCCCCGGCGCGCTACCGAAGAGCGGCAGCAGGCTGGCGGCGGGCATGACCCCCGCGCCGCCTCAGCGCCGCGCAGGGATCGCACCCCACCGGACGGCTCGGCTCCGCCGCCTCCTGCCCGCCTGTGCGACACAAAGTTTCCTCGGGCGGGCGCGGTAACTTTTTCCTTCCCCGCTGGCAGCGCTCGGCAGCGTTTGCGGGGCGGGCGCTGTCAGCTCCAACCCATGCTGCTGCTGCTGCTGCTGCTGCTGCTGCTGCTGCCGCCACTACCGGGCCGCCGCCGCGGGTGCCGCTCCCCGCTCCGCCCGCGCGGAACTGCCGGGCGGCCGGGGGCGGGGCGGGGCGGGGCGGCCGCCGGCCCAATGGCGGGGGAGGCGGGGCTGCTGGACCCGCGGGTCCCGGGGCTCACTCGCGGGATGCGCTGCCCGGGCGCTGCCGGACCCCCGCGGGCGGACGGGCGCGGCGTCGGGGCCCGCCCGCTTCGTCCCCGTGGCTGGCGGCAGCGGCGGCCCGAGGCGGGTGCGCGGCACCTGCACATGCCGGCAGCGCTCACACGCGCACCCACGCGCACACTTGTGCGCGCACACACACGCGCGTGTGCCCCCACCCCAGCGCGCGGGGCTGCCTGCACGCTCACGGCAGCGCGCGCTCACGCGTGTTCATACAGGCACGTGCACAGAGCTGGGGGCGGCGCGAGAGGAGGCGGCTCCGGCATCCCTGTCCGCTGTCCGGTTGGGGGGATGGAGCGGGGCCGGGAGTGACTCCCGATCCACCGGTCAGGAAGAGCTCTAGTCTATTCTTTGTAAGAAAAACAGGGGTTAATTCTATTTATTTATTTATTTATTTATTTACTTATTTTCTGTAGGCAGAAGATGCATCTTTTGCAAGGAAGTAAGGAAATGTGTCTCTGTATAGAGTATGAAAATTCGAGTTTTCATCTATGCTAGTACAAAAAGAAAAAACTGTCGTTTGTTGGCACAAGGAAATGTGTTTGATAGCAGATCAAATTGCTGCATCAAGCTCCCCGAACATATGGTGATGGGAAAAGTTTCCAGAAAAAATAAGATACGGATTTATTATTTTTGCTCATGTTACAGAGCATGCGATAAACTGTGGAGATGTGAGAATCGAGGAAACACAATAAAATGCTGGGTCACTTACAGGAAAAGGTAATCCAGCCAACACCCAGGAGTTTATCTGCAACTCCTTGGGAACGTACTCAGTCTAGCTTGACTTTCACAGCAGTTCAGCACCATAAACTTAAACATTTCCCCCAAAATGTTAACCACACCGTCAGAAAGAAAACAGTGAGATAGGTTGTTCGCAGAAGTTAGGATGCAGAGGTTTGTTTGTGTATTTGCATGGCTTTATTTTGCAAGGGAAAACAAAAAACAACAGTAGAGGGAAGTCTGTGCTTTAACCAAGGGCAGGAAAAAGGCATTGTGTAAGCCTTAAAGACGCGATTTTGAAAATGGGCTTGGCATGGCTCTACTTTTGCTCCCAGTGGAATTAAGGGGAGTTTTACCACTGACTTAATAGGAATAAAGTAAAGCTGCTGCGCAATGCTTTTCTAAATCCCATTCTTTAGAAGTTAGAATATGTAATAGGTTAATTAAAAACAGGTTTAGAGAAGACAGTTACATAGAAATGTCGGACTGAGTCCTGCAAAACTCCTTTAAGGATACAAGGAAATGCTTCTGTAAGATTTCAAGATTATACATGAAACCGAAGAATCAGGGGCCCAACAGTGAGATCACTAATTTCATTTAGTTTTTACTGTGCTTTTCTTTTCAATCATATTTTTTTCCTGAGTTGCATTTCCCCACATTTAGATGTAGAACTATTGCTTAAACTAAACAATAAGCATTCTCATTTTGAAACATATTTCCCAGAAACTTGTAACATAGTCCAATAGCTATGCCAAGAAAAAATTGTTTAGGATTGAAGAGTTCAGACTGCTTGGAAAAGGAGAAAAGAATCTCTGGTGCCTTTTTTTTTTTTTTAAAGCAACATTTAAGGTAGCAAATATGGGGTTAG